TCACACCAAAGCCCACTCACTCTCTGAGTCGGCCTTGACGTTCACCACCTCTGCCAAGGCAGGCGAGGATGCGGCCCTGTTGGCAGGAGTTCATGAGGGTGTCACACCTGTCACAGCAAGGAGAAAGGGAACTTTGATGGTTACAACTTTGTCCTCGGGACAGGTGGCCTCTCTAAACACCCTCAGGTCTTGGGCCTAAATGCTACCCTGTCCTTCCCTCTGCTTAGATGAATGGACAGAATGTGCAAATGCTGGCCCAAAAACTCTGGACCCAAATTTATGGCTTGTGGGGAGCCATGGAGCAAGACCGGAGATGTGTACTCTTCCTGTCACCCCTTCTCTTTCCATTCTTTATTATAAAGGACTCCTGCACCTGGGCACCATGATATCAGGAGAACACTCTTTCATCACCTCGAAGCTGGCTGTGAGTAAGGCCTTTCTCCTCTCAACAAACGTCCTGCTTTGCCTTGGTCAGCGGGAGCAAATGAACCTCAGTACATGGATCCAAGTGACAGGTAACACAGGGACTGTCCCTCCCCCTGACTTCCTGTGTCAATGACTGACTTTGAGGTCAAAATGCAGCCCAGGAGTGAAGGGATTTTCCTGGCCTTTTCCCTGGATTATGCCAAAGGCCCAGAAGCGAGACTGCATTTAACACGCACTTCTTGTGTGAGTGGGCAATGAGTGAACCCAGCCAGGTTGTTCCTGGAAACCTCAGTGGATCCTGTGCCCCTCACATAACCCCCAGGATTCCTGCTCTGGCTTGATCTAGGGGAGGGATTCCCCAGAGATCATGCGGAGCCTCTTTACAGATGGGGAAACTCCTTTGTCTGAGGTCTCAGGTAAGTGAGGCTCAAAGCTAATAGTGTCTCCCCCAGGGTGTGTGAAGGTTACACATGCAAAGCCAGGGCGGGTGCTTTCAGTGCTCAGATTCCTTGGGCCTGGCAGCACCCAAGGGTCTTCCTTGAGCCTCTCAGTTTCCACACAGCAGACTGTGCATGGTATCCTGAAGACCCAGCCAGAAGGTGGTGACCCCCACCCAGGTCCATGAGGTGGGACATGCACCTTTTCAACAGCAGCTCCAGCACCTGCTGTGTGGTGCCCACTGATCGGTAGCTTTGGAAAAATCTGTGGAGGAACCAGGTCTCTCCACGAAGCACAGAAGGCACTAGGTCATTCACCATGCTCTTGCGTGCATCCTCGAAGAGGATTTCCAAACAGCCGCGCATTTCCAGGCTCTGGACTGATGCATTTTCATCCTGGGGTGGGACCAAGGATGGAGGTTCAAACATGGAAGCAGCAGCTCTATTAGTCTCTTTTTATCATTGAGAAAAAACACCCAATACTCAAAACTGAATTATGGTTTTAGAGTGTTCAGTCCATTGCTAGGGGGCTCCAAGCCAGAAGTGGCATGGTGGAAGGCCGTGATGGTAGACAGCTGCTCAACCCACAGCAACCATGCAGAACAAGAAGGGAGGGGACAGGAACTGAATACAGCCTCGTAGGCGACACCCCCACTGACCCACCTCATCCAACCAGGCCTCCAATCCTAGCAGCACCTTCAGCTGTGAACTCCTCAATTAACCCATTGATAAGAGTACCCCCTGAAGGATTCAGCCTCATCCCAACCCCACCATAACATGTGAGACAAAAGGGGGATTTTAGAGGTAAACCATAACCTTAGCAAAATGCCAAACTGCTGTGCCATTCAACAAAGTGCAAACAGCGCAGACAGAGTCTACAGTACTCACACAGACAGATGGGCACACAATGACACACACACACTGATACCAGGGAGGGGTTGAGTGTACACAAGGAGGGGTCACAACGATGGGCTGGGATTTGTTGACCGGGTCCTGCTCAGTCTGTTTCACCTTTGGATTCTGTGAAAATGGCCACCGGCGACCAGGCCAATGGGAGAACAATGATCTCCAAATGTGGCCAAGGCCTCCGCTATGTGACCTCCTATACCTGAGTCTTGGGAAGTCAGGAGACAAGACAAGAACATCCTGTTATGTCTGAGGTCTCCAGACAAGTGAGCTTGCTACAGTTGACTGCTAGGTATGGGTGCCTGGCAACGGGGTTCTGAGCTCCATTTCATCATTCAGGAATTGAGGTCATTCTTGGGGGCCCCTTAACTGATCTGTTCCTTTCCCATCCCCCTGATGAGGATATTTTCCTTGCTGTCTAGGTTCCATGGTCCTGCCAAACCCTGCATGCTCACCCTGCCTCCTGCTGACTTCCAGCATCCTGAGTCAGACCAGTGCTACTCCCCACCACACCTTGGCACAGAAACCCACCGATGGAGACACTATGAAGCAGCTCTTAGCAGGATTTAAATTAACCAACTGGCTTTTAATGATTCCTTGTGAATCTGTCCAAAGCCTAGGCTGCTCGTCTGAAAATGGGAGGTGGACTCATAGTAAGTGAACCTCTGTGAGTCACTGATCCCTACTGAGCCTGTGATGGTAGATGAAGCTGGAAACTTCAAAGGATAAGACAACGTCACAGCCAGGGACACCTGGATCCAACCTCAACTAGATAATGATTGTAGCCTCAGGCATCTTACTGCTGGGTGGATTAATTTAATACCTTACTTGCAGATGTCCTTGAGTGATTCTGCCCTTCTTGAGTACTCCCTTCCCTCCTTCTGCTAACTAAAGAAATATGGGCCACCAAGAGAAGGTCTTGGTCTTAGCCCTGACAGAATCTCAAATTCTGTGAGAAGGTTTTGATCCTCCTGGAACCCTGAAGTCATTCCATTTGCCTCTTTTATTCAGCCTTCTCTGTACATCCATTCGGGAGATTGCTGACCTTACCAGCTCACAATAACTAACGGATATTATTAACCCAATACCTACTGTGTCTCATCCAATCTAATGCTTTATTTAGGACTGAAGGATTCTGTAAGGAAAAGGAAAGGCATGAACAAAGTACAAGGAAGATTAAGGCAGTTTCAAGTTCTCTGCAATTCATTATTAGACAAACCTGTGGTTGCATGAGCACAGGTGCACATGTTCCTACCCTCCTCCTAGCAATGATCACTGATTCAGACACTTTGACAGATGCACTCACAAGGAGAGGGAAAGTATATTTTTTAAAGTTCTCTCTTTTCAGGGCCATTATGAATGGATCATATTGTATCAGTAATAAACCTAAATGAGAGTGGCTTATGACCACTGTACTGTTATTTCTTAGTCACATTACCTGGGGGCTTAGGGTCTGGTTGGGGTTGACTGTGAGGCTACTTGGGTCTGCACAAAGTGTCTTCTCTTTCTGGGTCCAGAGCACAGAATGGCCCCTTGTAAGTTGAACTATGCAATAGATTTGCTACTTAGATACAGTTGTGCATTATATTTGCTGTAAGTTTATTGGCCAGTGGAAGTCACCAGGGTACACTTGTGACTGGGATAGAAAATACACTCTGCCTATGACAAGGCATGTCAAGTTGTCAAAGTTTAACCATTCAGAAAAGAAGATAAAGCTCTTGTGGACAATCATACACTCATCCCCAATGTCTACCTTCGTTAGCTTGGGTATCTCTTAGCATTGCCCTTCAAAATAGGACACAAGCGTGGTAGATGATGAAAATAAAAACCCCTATAACAAAAATAAAATACTGACATCTCCATTTGTATTTACTCCCCTTGTCGTCTCTCCTTTCCACCCTTACTTCTCCCTGAAAATACTTAACTCGTGTCTAGACCGAATTAAGGACATTTGTGGTGGGCCTGCCTTTAACCTAGAAAGCTGGCCTTACCTCGACTGGTTGATGTCACAGTCATTGTAATACTTAAATAGTATTAATTGCACTAAAAGAAAATATTTGCTAAATTGTTAATTACAGTTTATAACAATTTTGTAAATGACCATTTAATTTTGACAAATTACTTAAAAGACAGGAAGCTTATTGAATATTATTATTCTCTTTTTAAAAAAAAAATGAAATGAAGCGCTCCAGTTTCACTCAGATTTTCCATGTTATGAAAGATAGAATGGTATGCAGATTAGCAGATGTTAAAGCACATGAATGGACACATGCACACAATTTGTTCTCTCCAGGTATGCGTGATGTTCTAACCATGCTCTAAACATGTCCTGTTGCAAACAGCACTTTTTGGAAACAGAATTTAGAAATAAATGTTTCACTATGTCACAATTTTTTCTTTTGTCAAAATGATAAACGATGTAGTTTACCCAGCTTTTGGGGGGGAAATCTTTGAAATGAAGGGTTTTCCGTGGACCCTACCACTTGCTACATACAAAACCAATTCAAAGTGTATCCAGGACCTAAATGTTAGACCTGAAGCTATGAAATTATGAAACAAAACATAGAGATTAATTTCAAAATAGGAGCATAAGCAATGATTTTTTGGACACTGAAAGCACATATAACAAACAAAAGTACACAAATGAGCTTATATCATAGAAGAGGCTTCTTCATAGCAAAGGAATAAACAACAAAATACAGAGGCAAACAACAGATTGGGGGAAAGTATTTGTCAAATAATTTTACAAGGGATCAATATCTAGTACACTTAGAGAACACAAAGCAACAATGAGTTGAAATCCCATTAAAATAAGTAAATGATCTGAATAAACATCTCTTTAAAAAGAAGAGATATAAGTGGTCAACATATATTTGAAAAGTTGCTCAACATCACCAACTGTTACAAAAATGCAAGTCAAAACCACAATCAGTACAATCCCTCTTCCCTCTGTACCTGATTTGTTCATTTTTATCTACTTATACCACTGACTCTGGAGTTATTTGTACAACTAGCGTAAATTGCTCCTCCTTGCCTATGCCCCATAAACACTTCAAACTGCACATTTAGTAAAAAGTAATAGACCAACAATTTTACAAAATAGCTGAAACAATCTCTACCATGTTCTCAGGGAAACTGTTCAACTGCTGGGATTTAGAGTCCACAAAGACAGAGAGGTTTGCGTGTTTTGGTGACAGCTATTTCCCTTTCTAAGAGTGCCCAGCACCTGGCACCTGATCTAAAAAGTCATACAATGAGTGTATGTTGGATTGCTATGATTTCTTATTGCAAAATTTTAGCTCATGTTGTTATTACTCTGAGCATTTCCTCAGTTGATAGCCCAAACCAAAAGTCCCATCTTTCTCCTTGTGTGTTTTTCTAGGCTCTCTTCCTAGTTAGGATGCCAGACTCTTTCACTGTTTTCTCCCAATGCCTGCCAGGCTATTCTTCAGGCTAAGCTCCCCACTTCATAGCATGACTGCTTTTAGTTGTCCTAAGTGCTCTCATATTTCTTTAGGAAAAAAATGCACAACATTCTTACTAATATGCCAGGGATTCTTTTAGGTAGCCACACAAATTAAGTATTATTTTTATTTATCTTAATGATTATTTTTCAAAAAAGGAAGGGTGTGGACTTCAAACTCAAACCCTGTTAGTCTGACTTTTGGGACCATGATCACAAGCATCAACCACAGCAATAATACCACTCATCACACTGGGTTCTGTTAGTGGACACAGCAGCTCTCCACCCCTTGCTGACGTAAGTCCATGGGCCCTGGCAGGGCGTTTCTGTCCTACTTGAGTCCTTCTTATCCTTCCCCACCTCCAGTTGCCGCCAGCTCCCTCTTGAGTAGTGACCCTCGGTCCCACTGCTGCACTGATCCAGGTCGGCTGCTGTGAGTCTTCTCTCCACTGCAGAGCAAATCCTGTGAAGGCTCTTCTCTGTTTAACGTACCTCGTGTTTCCTTCGTCATTCACTTCCCTTCTACCTTGGAGAAGGTGCTGGTCCTCCTTTTATCTCAAGGCTCTTTTCTTTTAAATTCTTGTTTGTTCTTAGAGATTGTATCCTCTCAATTATTAGTTCTCTTTGCAATTTCAAACTCTTCCCTCTGTCACAGATACCCGGGTGGAACCCAGAGCACTCATACTGAGTTACATCCACAGAACTTTTCTTTTTATTTTGAGGTAAGTCTTATTAAGTCATTAAGTTGTTCACACTGAGCTTGAGTTTATGATTCTCTTACTTCTGCCTGCTAATGTTGCTGGACTATAGGTGTAATCTGCCTTTAAACAGATAAAGTAAGTTTTATTAACAGTAATTTTGCCAAGTGTGGTGGCATACACCTGGAATCCCAGCACTTGAGAAACTGAGGTAGTTGGATTGCCATGAGTTGAAGGCCAGCCTGGGTTATGTAGTGAGTTCAAGACCGGTCTGGTACACTTAGATAATGTGAAACTGTCTCAAAAGCAAACAAATGACAAACATTAATTTTAATCAAAATTGAGGGCATCAAGACAAGATTTATAAGGTCAGTCAACTCCCAATGGATGCCCAGTCATTGCCTTAAACCTGAGGTCACTTTGGATTCCAGCAGAGCCTTTGAAACATTAAGAGTGCTGCAGGCAGAAATAATCATCTCATGGAAACCATATTTCCTTCCCAAACAATAAGAACTTGTCCACAACCATCTTGCAAAACTAGAAATAGGATAACAATCAACAACAAACTAGTCCAACTTCGTTCCTCTATAAAAACAGGTCACATTCCTTTGCTGAGAGGCCAGTCTGACCTTCATCAGAGCCATGCCCCCTCAGCTCCTCACACTCAAGTCCCTTCTCTATTTTCTTCTACTTTCTATTTATGTCTCTTACTGCAAGTAGAGTCAAGAACCAACACTGAGTGAGTTGAGGCCTTCATCTCCTCTCTAGGAGGACCTCCTCAGAGTGCAGCTGGTGGTATATGGACTAAGAGAACACTCAGCTAAAGTATGTATTGGTATTTTTATATTTATTTTATAGTAAAATTATAATATTTTCCATGAGTTACATACAATATACTGAAATTGTTACTTGTGCCTAGCAGAATTTCAGGTATCTTTATGGCAGATATTTATGGTTAAGAGGTCCTGCTCCTGAAATCTGTAACTTAGGGAAACCAACTCTTCCTAAGTCTGTACTAGCCTTCCTGCAGTAGTCAACACAATCATTTCTGTTTGCCATTTCTGAGATTTGAAATGGCCCTGCATGTGGAATTTAATTGGTCTGATCCAGTTGAAGAATGG